CTTCTTGCCCAGAGACACCGGGGATAAGCTGCAGATCACCTCTGACCCCACAGAAAATGTCTGGCTGGATAGGCGGACTTTTTAAAGCAAGCTACACACCCTGCTGGGACAGGCATTTTTTGCAGTGTGCAGCTGGTTGCCTAGCAGCAGTCAGAGCCTCTCTACCCTATGTGCATGCGTGGATGCATCACCTCCAGCATGTTGTCATTAGGCTTTCGACACCTTCCATTTGTGACAAGTGCAACACACGTGAGAAATGTTGAGCTCGTCTCACTCGTGTGATCGCGGACGAAACTTGAGCGATACTCACCCGGCAAGCACGCGGAAGCCGTCAGTCATCCTCACACTGTAAACCTGAGTGCTATTGCCTTGACGCTAAGACTTTGGCCCATCAGGTTTTGCGCTTGTGTATCTGCTGGAGACAAGACATACTCTAAGCGAGCCATGACGAGGCAAATATGCAAGCCTGAACAAAGTATTTGCTTTACAAGTCAACCTCATCACTATTAGGGTTTAAGCATACATTGTGTCGGCAAGAAAGTAAAAATGTGGCACTTGGTAACACAACCATAGCAAAAACAAACGAAAGAAGAGCAGCAGCATCCCTGGGGGAAAGAAAACAGGTTTTTGCACACATACACGCAAAAAAAATGACACAGCCATGTTTGCAGTCCGAAACGTTCTTGGTACAGTATTGATAAGGTTCTAAAACACACACAAAATCTATGAAATACATAATGTATTGCCATATAACATCAAAGACAGAAAAGCATACATCAAACATGAAGGGAACAGAGAGCGTGCGCCTGATTGATGATCAATAAAATACTTCAGCCTATATCCATGTAATCTTGCTCACCAAATTAAAACTGACCCGTGAGCTATTTTGGAGGTGACACATCTTCCCTCCTCAACTACCGGACACACCAGCCAGATGGAGACAACCATTATTTTCACAAACCCCCACACTGGAAGTGGGAGCCCTTATTGCCACTAAGTTAGACACTTAACATCCCCCCAAGGGGTATAAGATGGGAAATGAAACTTTTTGAGAAACTGAGGGAGAACTACATTACTCATTAATGTGGTCAGCTTCTCTCCAACTCTTCTGCAAGAAACTGCACTCAATATTTGGTGGATGATAAAATGAAGTTAGTCGAGTCCAGACAGTGAAACGTAAGAGATCGAACACAATCATTTCACAGGTCTTGCGCTGGATATTTATTTGGAAACTGGGAATAGAGTGTTCATTTACAAAAATTGGCACAGAACTAAAACCCATTGCAGCATGTTCTTTCAGGACGCGTATAAATACTGACGGTTGCGGATCAGCTAATGCATGTTTAATATATTTCCAGTTAGTTTTCTCGTCCTTCATGATAGAGCGCCGTTATCTCTTTCGAGGGAAACGTTTCTTTCGAAAGCCAGCCTTTACGCGCTCACTGAGAAAATGAAAGGTGCATCGTTTGACTTGGGTGGGAGTAGATCATCGCACACTCTAATGTGTGCAGTTCAACGGTGTGTGCCCAAGAGGAAACATCTGACCATGACAGTTCAGTGCGACAGGAAGCCTGATGGGGTGAAGAGCACTCAATGGAATGCAGCGAATATGATTTGACATAGCTGGATTTAGTTCGTTTTGCATGGGTTCATATTGTTCGCACAGCTGTTTCACAGTCAAGAGGTTCTGAGTTCAAATCTCACGTTAGTGTGGAGTTTACATGTGTGGAATTTACCTGGTCATTCAGTGCCATTGGTGGTATGTGTTGAAGTTCAAATAATTTATTATTGCATTTGAGCATTACTTTTTCTGATGACCTATAAGGTAGGGGAAAACAGGGTAAATAGCAACATGGAGGACCATGAACCAGGGAGCGTCAACAACTATGATGCAACAGATTCAGAGAAGCAAGCTATTCCATTAGTGGTATTTTAAGGGAATTGTTTGATGTTGTCGGATGCATTTCTGCTGACTGCTGATGTCTTGTGGCATCCTAGACACTCTGGGTAGTCTGGCTTCCTTCCCACATTGCCAAAACATGCATGTTAGGTTCATTTAAGATCAAAATTGTACAAAGGTGTTAATGTGAAAGTGGGTTGGTTGTCTAAACTGTAGCTTATGTTCCCTAATTGGGTGACGACCAGTCCAGGGGGCACTCTGCCTCTCGTCCAAAGACAACTCAACCGTGAGTGACCCTAATGATGACAAACGCTATTGAAAATGAATTTGATGCGCTCCAGGATTTAGTTGTGTGTGTGTGTGTGTGTGTTTGGGGGGTGGGGGGGGGGGCACATGTCAGAATAATTGCGGTGTTTTCGAACCGATGTGTACCCACCTTTTTGGGGCTAAACATCGGTGTAGTTGTGACGCTGGTTGATGCATGGAGGTACAGATGAAGTGATACAGTGACATCTGTCGTCTCCTCTAAGCGCCTTCTCGGCAGCGTCATCTCCATCAGCAATCTGTGGGGAAATGTATTTTTATTATTTAATGAGTCCTTAAATTGACCAGCAGGGGGTAGCGTTGTACAGGGGCATGAATTCACCTCACAGGACACACTTTCCGAATCCATTGAACTGTAATTTACTGTAATTTAAAACATCGTAAATCATGTGTCAGTCGTTTGTTTATTTGAATCTTCATTGTTGAAGATATTTTTGAAGGCACAGATGGAGTATTCTTTCTTATCGCCATCTTGAGCATTTTGTAACTAAAATGCAGTATAATCTTAAATGTCTTAAATGTCAATTGTTGTAGACAGACATTCAAGGTTGGTTTTAGTTTTTATTTTTGTGTATTAAATTTGCAATAGTGGTTTCCTATTTTGGATTTCGAGTGTGTGTGTGGGGGGAGGGGGGGGGCGTTAATAGAAGTTATTTTTTTTTCCTCTACTGACCTCCAGGCATGCTGGAAAAAAGTGCATACAGCTCCAAAGAACCACGACGAGTGGGGCCAGTATTTCTTCTTGTGTTTCTAAAATGAAATTAAACGACAGTTTTGTCACCACTCTGTAATGCCTGCTGACACTTGCTGGTTATGATCCAAGAACACCCAGGCTTCTCCCCTGCCATCTGTAACGACAAATGACATATTGGGAAGGGGCCATTGTATGGTCAGTATGAACAGGAGGGTGCAAATGCATCATTACACATACAGTATGAGCAACTGACAGCGTTCTTACAAGTCACATCAAGTCGTTTAAAAGAACAGATAAAATGTGACGTATGTTGGAAATTTCATTGGCCACTTTTTCTTTTATTATGATAAAATCTGTGTAAGTCATTCTAGTCCAGGGTGTCAAACTCGAGGCCCGGGGGGCCACATCTGGCTCTCCAACGCAAATCACGTGGATCAAATTGTTAAAATACCAAAAATTGCTAATTGTCTGTTTGACTTCTAATAACATTAAAATTTTGCAATCAAACCATAATCAAAGTGTGGTCCGTAGCAAAAAGGAGTTTGACACCCCTGCGTGTAGTCAGTTATGACTTTTAGTCCCAATTTTGGATAAGTTGTTACCAAGTCTGCCTCAGCTCTTAGGTATGGGGTTAGAATCTTTGCACTCGTCTTTTTGTGTGGAGTTTGTATGTTGCTCAGGTGGGTTTTCTCTGCGTACTCCGGCTTTCTCCTAAATTCCAAAAACATGCATGTTAGGTTCATTTAAGACTCTAGCTTGACCGTTGGTGACAAGGTGAGTGTGAATGCTAGTCGATCTGTATATGATTGGCTGTGACCAGTCCATCGTGGCACATACCTCTTCGTCGGTGTTCGCTGACAGGCTCCAGCTCCATTGCGCCCTTGATTGGGGACAACTTATAAGGATTATGAAAAAAAAAAATAGATGGATGGCTGGATTGATCAGTAACAGCAAAACACTAAAGAGGAGGAACACCAACGAAGGAAAGAGGATGTAAATTGACATCAGGTAGTTGTTTATCAAGTAACCTCAATGAACAGCATACCAAGCACAAAAGAAAGACTATTAAGACATCCTGTCAATGTACAGAACAAGGATTAGCAGTATCATTACACAATGATTTGACATAGAAAAGTGGAACGTTTGCAGACATAACAGATGGCCACTAAAACTAAAGTGGTCCGTGTGCGAGAAGCCTGCTTCATATGCACGCTGTTTAAAAAAAAAAAAAAAAAAAATCTGTCAAATCTCCAGCATTTCTGCATTCTCAATAGCAGGATGAGGACAAATGGCCTGTAATGCTCACTGCTATTATTCAGCATCCTAAACAGTGACGGATTCAACACAGCCATCCTCAAAGGGAATTACAGTATATGTTGAACGTAAACTACAAATTGGGGATGTGATGGGCACGCAGTAGTCCAAATGTCTTCGTCTCCTCACCTCACACATTTTCTCTGCACGTTCACACCCAGGCAACAACCAGGGATGGAATGTAAAACTGGGCCAATGCAGCTAGCTTGCCGCAAATCTAATAGCTGTCTCACAAATGCACTTGAGGGCATTTTTCACATTATCTACACATCATGGATACACAAATAGTGCATTTCCTCTGGTGAAGATGTCTCTTAATTGTTGACTTGGACACAGATACACCCACCTCCAAGAGAATGTACTTGATCTGGCTAACTATTGTGAAAGGCTTTTTCCTCATTTCAAATCCATTGTAGAGGAGTACATAGCTGGGAGGCTGAAACTTGCGTCAATATCCAAATATTTATGGATCTGACTGTGTTTTGCTTTGCTGCAAGTTCTAAACCACACAGCCTGACGTCAAATTAAGTACCAGAGTGCATTATTACAGGATTACTTCCGCACCTCATCTGCTGATATGGTTTTGTGGCAGTCGTGCATCATCTTCACGACGTGGTGACCATCCCTGTGGGTGCCCTTGGAGGTAACGCATCAAGATGGTTCTTCAGACGGGAGGAGTCCAACCACTCATTTGAGCTTGGTTGAGGAGCTGTGGAAAATTCTGTGTAGGGCTAGGATGTAATAAATGTACAAAATTATTAAGATTGATTTCCATTGTTGGCATTTTTTAATGTACAGTCACTTGAAATAATACTAAGTGAATACACATTTAGAAAAAAAAACATTCAATGATAAAAAACAAAAACGCTGAGCAGAACAAGTCATTTCACTTGCCATGAAGAAAGAAGCAGGATATGCAAACTTTTACTGTTCACAAGAGTAAGTTCCTTTTAACATTGACAGGATAAAACCTCCTCAAAAGAAAGTCAATTCTTACTCTAAGCCTGCAAAACTCAATTCTTTCCAGGTGATGCAAACTTACAAGATAAACTTACAGATCAATTACTTCTTAATGAAAGAAAATGCCCCCATTGAAAAATAACCGATGAGAGGCTACTGTGTTTTGTGTTAAACAGAGGATGCCAATGTTTTTATTCCAAAAAAGTGCATAAGAGCAGCAGCATTACTGGGACAGTGTGGGACAAAATATCATATTAAAAACAAATTAAATTAGACGGGAACTTTTTTTTTAATGACACAAATTAAGGATAATATAAAAAATATGTCAAGGGATAACCTGCCAATGTTTTATTATCAAATTTTTTTTTTTTGAGGCTCTGATGCACTCGCCAAGTGAAGTCCTTTAAAAATGTTTGATATGTTGGTCAATGATTGAGTGGATGACAGCTATGCAGCCCAACACTGAAGAGAATATCAAACAAGTAAACAAAACTAAAATTGCACTCAAGGCAACAATCAGAATTTGTATACATTATATAAAAACATCTCCCATCATTTTTCCCATCACCTGTTTCTTTTTATCACACAACAACAGATGGGGGTGGAGTCACACAGCACCACCCACAGTGAAAAAAAAAGTCCAACTTGCTTTTTTGATTGGTATTTATCATATGTATACATTACTAGCTATACATTTGACAACTACTGCTGCTATTTCTTAAAATAACATTAAAAAAAAAAAACAACTCCAACTGCCCTATTTCATAATTGATGATAACGCTGCAATCGATTCATCCAACAGCTACACAAAAGTAAAAACAGCAGTAATAAAAAGAAAATTTTTGAAATAATTTACATCTTTGTATTCTCATGGACAATAGTGTTTAGAAATGAACCACTGGATCACTCTAAACATAGGCACAGTTTAAAAAAAAAAAAACAAACAAACAAAACAAGAGAAAGTAAGTACATAAAAAAAAGTATAAACACACCATCATTAGACCTTTGTTCTCTGTGGTCAAGAAGTAACACAAGTAATCATCTCAAGAGAGCGAGGTTGATGTCGAAAGTGAAAATATCAAAAGAAATAGGACACCTTTAACTTATGGCAGCAGCAGTAAATGTGACGATCCAAAGACTTGTTTTGTTTGTATTTGCATATAGCCGCATCCTCGCTCACATAGAAGATGCTTGGAATTACTGTAAATACATTGGCAATGGGAGCACGCTTTATATGATTAAAAGACTTGCCACTTAGCTCACAGTTACTCAATATAGAAATTCATGTACTGTATCTTCAGTTTTGGCAAAGAGATGGGAATATTTTCCTCCTGTACGATTCGGAATGGGAAGATGCGCGTGAGTGACGGGGTCCAAGAATGACTTGAATTAAGTGGAGCAAATCAGAGTCTCCCATGTGTCTCCTTTTGTCTGCCCATAGATGGTGAGAGAAAGTCTCTTCTGCGTCCATCTCCTCCGCTTTGTCCCCGACACTGATGCTGGGGTGCGGCTGACTTCTTTTACAGTGTATGATACACGGAATGGGGTGGGCAGGCAGGCATGAGTTTGGGCTCTGTCCTCAGACCATGGCACGGTATGGTCCCTGCATCTTGAGGAACTGGATGATGAAGGAAGGCCCCCCGGCCACAATCTGGGGCGGCAGGTGGCTGAGGGGACAGTTTTCAATGCTCATAATGGACAGCTTGCTGCACAGGGCCAGCTCAAAGGGCAGGCTGTGCAGGTTGGGGTTGTCGTTGAGGTACAATTCCTCCAGGTTCTCCAGTGTGCCTAAGGAGGGAGACGAGTGTAAGCATGCACGTGAACATGGACCGTCTCTCTGCAATGATCCAGGAAAAATGAAACAAATATACCACAGAGTGGTGATAATAATTAACACACAGGAATAAAAATAGGTATCGACTTCCACGGTGAAAAGGCTCAGGACCACTTCTTGTCATTACACGCTGGCAGTTCCTAAGAAGCCATTTTTTTCCCCCCTGCATATTCAGTCGGTTAAAAAAAAAAAAAAAAATCCCTTTTCAAATGCCAGTTTTTTTTCCACCATTAATTTGACCGGAATATGTACAACTCAATTGATTTTTTTTTTTTTTTTTGAGGGGAAGAAAAAGACACAACTCAGACATAATAAAGATATGGACACCTTCTTACCCTCTGGGGATGTGGCTGTGTTCAACTCATGGTAAACATAAGTCAGCACACACCTGTCGCCATTGAAAAATGCCTCTGAGTAATCCGAAATAAAGTGCAGATGTTCTGGTAGACTCTTTGTGACATTTTTCTGATGACTTCTTTCAGTAAGTCATGGTCCACAGAAAGCTTTTGGAGCATCAGAGGGATCTTATTGTTCAAATTTAAAAGGCATTAATTTTGAGGTGCAATAATTAATTGATTCCTGGACAAATAATTGTCAAATTAATAGAGGATTATTTGAGAGAATCGATGAATCAGTTTGATTTTTCATTTAAAATTCTCTGAAATCCTTGAAATTTTAGCCTCTCGACAGAAAATGTTTTATGGGCTTTGGGTAGCAGCAGAGAAGCCTTACCTTACAACGGAAATAAAACACAGCTAAAATCTCCCAAACACTTCTGGGAAAATTAGTTAGTCTGATAAAAATAATTTTCAAACATATGATTGGTGTAAATACAATAATGTCATGGCTCAGCTGCAGAAAACCGGTGTGTCGTGCTTGGCCGTTACCTGAGCCCTGAGGCAAATGTGATGTCATTTTCAGTCAACACACCCTGAGATAGCTAAAAATGGGTGTTTAGATAGGCGCAAAGAACATATTGTAATGAATTTTTTTTGGCTGACCTCCACTTTAAGCAGCTTGACAGTGACACTGAAGATTTTTGCTTATCAAGTTTGATGAAAAGTTCCATTTTGCAGACGCGCCCCGTCTTGTTTTAAGCATTTGTCTCATGCATGTTGGAGCTAGTAGCATCTCCTTTCTTGCAGGCGGAATGAAACCTACTTTTAACCTCGGACTGCCACAATGGGTCAAATGTCCGACTACTTCAAGATGTCACTGATGTTGCAATCAGTTAACGCGTGCTAAACCGAACGGAAAATCATGACCACAAAATCAAAACACCCGCCAAACCGTCCACCTGCACTGAATTCAAATTAATAAATTCTGCTATTATTTTTTTATTGTCCAGTTGTTGTTGTCCAAGTTAGACAAGTTTATTCAGTGCCCCGTTTCTGTTTCCACAAGCACTTTGTCTTCTGCCTGCATAAGCCCATGCCATGTTCCGAAAGTGACACAAAACATTAGACAGTGTTCCCTCACTTATCGCGGTTAATGGAGACCGAGACCGGGCCGCGACAGCTGAGTTTCTGTGAGTGATGGTGCAAATTGCATTTAAATAAGACAAAACAAATAAACAAACAAAAAAACTAAAATGAATCCACAACAAAAAAACACAGACATGGCCAGAGTAAGTCCACTGACCTCAAGTAGACAGAAATGTCTCTTAGCCAAGTCGTCTACTTTAAGCCACTCATAGGCCCACCATAAGCCTACAAAACTACCACCTATGGCTGCTTCATCCCCCTTGTAAATCTTTGTTTAGCTCATACTCAGCAGTAACCTGCCTCGCCACATCCAATCAACCCGTGGGGGGGGTTCAAACACGGGACAAATTGGGGACTCTAAAGCTCTTAAACCCTAATGGTTCACAAGATTGTCAAGAGTGACATCTACAAGGTGGCAAAAAAAGTTGGGTGGAGTGGCAACCAGTAAACACAAGTAAGAAAATGAAGTATTTACCAATCTCCTCGGGGAGATGTTGCAGCAGGTTCTCCCCCAAGCCCAGATGAGTCAGGTTGGTGAGGTGGCCGATGCCTCTGGGTAATGTTGTCAGCTGGTTATTTGTCAACACCAACTTCTAATGAATTCAGAGGGCAAGAAGGTCACAGCTTAGAAAAGACTGGACAAAGTCTTGGAGCTTTCAAGACTTTGCTACTCAAACAGAACTTGTTTGCAAAACTTGCCTGTAAATCCTTGAGATATGCTATTTCATTGGGGAGACATTCCAACTTGTTTTCCTCCAAGTCAAGCTCCCGAAGCTTTCTCAAATTGCCGATACCATGCGGTAACTTCTTCAGAAGGTTATTGGACAAAATTAACACCTGCGAACAAGACAAAGAAAAAAAAAAAATGAAATGCCGAATGCCATTTATACATGGAAAGGGCAGATTAACTCCACATGGTCTCATTTAACTTCAAGGGTACCTAAGAAGGTTGCACGGTATACCCGTACTAAAATAGTACTACAGTACATCCCTTTAAAGAAGCGAGACAGAAAAATTGGTCGATCAATTGGTAAGCAGTCAGAACATTTGTAATTGAGTGGCATTTAAACATTTTAGAGTACGATTGTCTCCTGCGGCCGCCTGTGTGGGAGTAAATCTTCAGAATAGATCAAAATCTGTTCACTCAGAGTACATGAGGTTCTCGTCTGTGTAAAATGTGGGTGAGTAACTCATGTTCTCATCAACTAAAACAGGGGTGTCAAACTCATTTTTGTCGTGGGCCACATTGTTGTTACTGTTTCCTTTGGAGGGCCGTTATGACTGAAACCAGATCAAAAAAGTCAATAACGGTTTATTCAACTATTGTTTAGGTTACTGTAATGAGGAGTTTGGTCACAAGAAAATGCTTACAACATGTCTCTAATTTATTAAATATGAGAATTGTAAATTTTGGTAGAGATTTTAGTAAGCATCATGGAAGTTGACATGTTTGATTTGCTTTCGCGGGCCACAAAAAATGAAGTGGCGGGCCACATCTGGCCCCCGGGCCTTGAGTTTGACATCTGTGAGCTAAAAGATAATCCACTACACCTTGAGTTAAATTCACTCTCTTCCAGCTGTAAATTTTACTCCGTTTAGACTTTGACCAAAAATGGTCTCTTCAGAGTCAAATGTACTCTACAAAATTTACTGCATACACCGGTTCACTGGAACCAATTTTCTTTGCCAGAGTCGCTAAGTAAATTCGACAGTTGCAAACAATTCACTAAATAAGAGTCAAATTGTGTTGCTTCAAGCTGTTTATTTGTCACCCCTCGTTGTAGTTAAGTATAAAATTGACGCGTAATCCAAAGAGAATTAAACAACAACAAATGTAGCTCCCTTAATCCCGACGTAGTGTCATGCAAAATGTCTTAGACATGCCAACAGAAAGTAGGACGAATGTGCCAGTCATGACGAAGATTTGAACTACACAAACCGAACAGCCCTGAGATATCCAGTACATGTCGTCTTGTATGAAAATTATCAAAGGCTCACCTCGAGAGACACCAGACCGCAGACATCCTCTGATATCTTTGTCAGCTGATTGGTGGCTAAGTTAAGCTCCACCATGCTGGTCCATGTGCCAAAGTCCAACGGCAAAGAATTTAGCTGGTTGTCCTGAGGAAGACAATACCATGCATTTAGAAGCCAAATGTGAGACAACTCAATAAATCCGTTCAGGCAGCTGAGCAAACCAGCCCACTGGGCAAACTGTGTTAGCTCGATCCAGAATCAATTCTTACAGATTTATTCAAACTCAAATGGCACCCAGTGCCGATGGATCTGTAAAAATGTTTCCGATTTGGGCCAATTTAGACTTGAGTAGGATTACTGTTCACACAAGTTAGAAACAATGTGAGGGAAATTTATCCAGAACAAACATTGAAACCTTGCATGTGCACATTTTATAGATCACGCTGCTACCACATTTCACAATGGGATATTTAAATTAGGGAACTTCTCACTCTTCTTCGAAGAGAGTGAAGAGTTAACGATATACAGTATCTTTAGCGCTGGTTGTGATTAACTGTGATTACACTGACATTTATGAGCGGTGACAGTAGAGTAATGCTGTTTTGACATGTAGCCAAGCCCACAATATATTGAAAAAACAAGACTGGGGATTTTCCACTAGATTCGTATTTCACACATTTTATGTCATAAACATATCAAAATGATCTTTATGAGTGTGATTTTTTTTGTCTTTCGTTATTTAAGGTCCAAATGAATCAATTATGTTTTATGAATTTCGAACATGAAAAAAACCCTAAAAAGAGCAATAGATCTTGGAGAAGATATTCCCTACTATATCTGGAAGATGTAACACAGTGTCAGGCACGATGGGCTGAAGGCAAATGAAGCGAAAGGCAATTTATTCCAGACCAAACATGTACCTTCATGTTAAGCTTGCTTAAAACTTTGGCCCTGATGAAGATTCCAAAAGGGATCTTGTTAATGCGGTTGTGCTCCATGTTGAGCGAGTAGATGGTTGAGAACTGGGATGGCCCACCCACAGGGTATGACTGGAAGCAGTTCCTTGCTAGCGTCAGGCTGGTCAGGTTGACCAAACTTGACAGGAGACCCTGTTTAATAACAAACAGAGGCACAACAGAAGCTAAATACGATCAGACAGAAACTGTGGGAAACAAAGTCAGCTTCTTGAGCCTTGAGTGTTTCAGCAAAAAACAGGTTTTGCCTTTCCAGCAGAAATACTTGATATCTTTGCTGTCCAAAAGAAAGCACGCATGTCCGAAGGAAAAACGAAAGAAATCTACAATGGCAATAATGAGTCCACTAAAAAGATGCAGTCGTCCTAAAATGGTTGCAGTATGAATTCGCTACACTGACACCGCATGAACAATAAACATGGAACATGGGCGTAAACAATATTGAATATCACACTACATGACAGTGCACACAAACAGTGGACATTCTTTGTAAATTACTTTTACTATTATTTTTCCTGTGGACAGTTTTGTTTTATCTTATCTTTAATCAATATCCCGTAATTGTTTTTCTTATTTTAAATTGGCAACTAGCTAACTAGAGAGAGAGAGAGAGAGAGAGAGAGAGAGAGAGAGAGAGATATGATATGATAGCAAGAGAGAGAAATAGAAAGCGCGAGAGAGAAAGTGATTCAAAGAGAGCGAGTGCAATAGCGATAGAGCGATAGAGCACACTTGCAATAGAGCGAGCGAGCATGCTAGCGATAGTGAGAGATAGATAAGATAGAGAAATAAAAAAATTTGCATTTTTTTTTAAATATTGATATTGGGACATGACGCATTATTTTTGACCGAGTTATGGTTTTTACTTACCTCTGGTAACACTGAAATGTTATTGTTTTCAAGATTTAGCTCTTCCAGTTCTCGACATTTGGCTAATGATCTGGGGATGGCTGACAATCTGTTGTATCTAAGACCCAAACGGTTTATGCTGGCAAGGTTTCCTGAAACATAAGATTTGCAAAATTATTTCCTATCAACAATACACATAATTCAATGCTGCTTTAGAGATGGAAAAAGCACAACGTAAATGGCATACCTATAGTCTCCGGGAGGTCTAAGAGCTCATTGTGCTGCAAATCTAAGTTGGTAATTTGTGTGCAATTCCCAATCTCCTTTGGTAAGTGCTCCAACTGATTATGGGCGACATCCAAAGTAATGAGGATGCGAAGTTCCCCTGGAAAACCATAAATAGGATCACCGGCCATGCTTTAAGTAGAGGGGGAAAAAAATTGCTAAATGACACTCCATATGGGACACACTCGCTCGTTTCACCCACCTATTTCTGCGGGAAGCTGCTTGATCTTGTTCTCCCGGATGCTGAGCATTGTGAGCTTGGAAAGGTTCCGGATGTCTTTCTCCACTGTGGTGATGCGGTTGAAGCGCAGGTAGAGTGTGGCCAGCGATGTCAGTCGGTAGACGACGGGCGGGATCTCCCTCAGCTTGTTGTGCCGGAGATCAAGCATGCGGAGCTTCTTAAGGGAGTCCAGTGAGTCGGGCAAACTGGTCAAGGAGTTCTCGCTCAAGGCCAACGTGAGCAGGCCTGAGAGGCAACCCACTTCGGGTGGTAGGCTCTGCAGTTTGTTGCTGTATAGGTAGAGTTCAGCCAGCTGTGTCAGCTCCTTGATGGAGGTGGGCAACATGTGAATAGACCGTTTTGAGAGATCCAGTCTCATGGAATTTTCCTCCCGGCACTTGTTAAGCTCCTTAATCACCTCGGCATTGCTGGATTTCTTGCGTGTACCTGGTGCTGGGTTTGGCCGCTTTATGGTATTGTCAACTGAGAAGGCAACACCCGGTGTCGAGCTGCTCGTGTCCTTCTTACCTTCTTTGGTTTCTTTCCCTTTGGTCTTGGTTTCTTTGCCCCCATCCTTAACTAGACCTGCCAGAGCCTTAGCCTCCTTTTCCCTTTCTTTGCCTCCCGAACCACTTTTAGGGTCCTTTTCTTTTGAATCTTTTTCTTTGCCTAAAGTACTACTCATGTCGACGTTATCGGGTGTCCTACAGAGTTGCTCATGAGGTTTTTGTCGGGTTACTTATTTAGGGAAAAAGGGATGAGGACAGTTGAGCGGGCTTTTAAAGAAAACATCACTGTGCAGGACCACGCACACTTGTGATTTGCCTTGGGAAAAGAAGTTTTTTTGCAATACTTTAAAAATGTTTTTGGTTAAAATGCCAGTGAGTAAAAAATCTGTTGAAGAATCTGGACTGTGGCATCCGTGGAATACATTCTTAAGCGTTGAAGCTGCATACAATCATGGGGACTTTTAGGTAAAACTTGTGGAATTCTTTCAGGCTCAAAGGGTCAGCAAAGTCTTTATAATCCCCCTGTTGAAGAAAAAAAAGAACATTTTTACATTTTAACAGTTTTAAATATAACAACTTACAGTGATTTGGAGCTTTCGCTGTTCAACAGTTCAAACTAGGCATCAAACAGTTTATGGATTATTGATAAAACATAACAGTTATTACTTGTCCAAATCAACTTTGAGAGCACAGATTAATAGTAGTCCCAACCAGTGTGCACCGCAACACAATAACAGTTTAAAGAAGACACAAAACATTGAAGTCGACTGAAAGCAAAGACGGTGTGTTACATCACCTTTCCATTTAAAACTCCCTCACCGCCAAAGACTTTATGAATCCAGACATTCAATCCCAGGTACGTATTTACAAATATCTTCTTTTTTTTTTTTTTAATTGATGTGATGGGGTGCTCGGTGGTCCAAAAAAACACCGTCTTCGCTACCCATCCCTACATAGATGTATCTGGTTCAATAATTTTTCATTTGTATAGGTTTCGCTTACACTCGCCATGGTGTCTAATTTGTTACTTTATTGTCATGTCAATGCACAAGCAACATCAAGTTTACTTCATGTTTAACCAGTGAGCTAGGTTAGCTGCACAGTTCACACCGCTGTCTTAGCTCCGTCTGACAGATGAAAGTAAACGCCACAGATATTTTCTCTATTATCTTCAAGTTTCAAACCTTGCATGTTTCGATTATCTTTCCCCGGTTGCGTCAAACCGATAATCCTTACATCCAAATGCTTTGGTGAGAATTGTTCAATCGGTCAGCAACAACTCTTGTCTGTGGTCGGGGCAGACTGCTGGTTGTCGTTGCAGAGGTTGCAGGATTGGTGACATGCACAACACAAAAATTGGCTTGTCAAGTCATGGAATTCAAGTCAAAGAAGGTTTTTCCTAAGTCGCAAAACATTAAATGAAATGAATTAGTCGACTGAAGTCCAAGTCATGTGACTCAAGTCCCCCAATCTTTGACAAACGGCATTGGGACGTCTATATTTGGACAATCGTTTTGTATTTCATAAAAATATGAAACAAAAACACTTCAAAACAAGTGTGGTGACGTGTCAGTGAGTACCCTTGAGTACGGAACACAAATGGGAAGTTGACCAATCACAGCTAATCTGTTGAATGTAACGCACCTAACCTCACACCAACTTTCTGCGACTAAATAAGCAGACCAGCGGGTGTTGACATTACAGATGCCGCCAGCCCCACCTCGACTTGCATTCTGCTATTTAGCTGTTCCTAATTGTCAGTACCTCCAGGAATCATTGGGGTATTTATGTCTTGCGGCTTTAAATCTTTAACATAAAGTAGTGCCTTTTGTGGTCGACCGTGTCCGTTAAGTCTCAGTGAGTGTATAAAGCGGCTTCACACATGCTAGGCCACAGCAAAGAGAGACGTGTTTGGATGAGGATCTGAAGTAAGTGAAAAGGTTAGCACTGCTGAGACTCGTCTTTAGAAGTGGCCTTCAAAGCATTGAGTCTCCACAACAAGAGGTCATATGACCTTTCGGGAAAAATCACTGCACCCCTTACATGGCCTAGAGTTTGACAGACCCTTCCCGAAATCAAACATGAAATCATAAATCAAAGGACAAACATAAACTGTGGGCTGTGACAGGCACGTCTGTGTAAAAGAATTCTGACCATAAAATGAGAAATGCCAGATCCTCCCTCCATTGTCATCTAATCCAAACTGAACACGAAACTTCCTTTTATGGTTGTGCGTTGCATGTCCCTGCATGAGAACATGCTTTGACATTACACATAGCATAAAAGTACTATTAGATTCATCTTTTTTTTGGGGGGGGGGGAGATAAGATGAAATAAACAAATGATGTCAATGTTCTTTTCAACCAATGCCCCTTCTCCCCTAGGAAGAAAAAAAAAACATCAAGCCATCATTGGCTGTACTGTATCCTCATCATTTTTTAAGAGAAACTTTTGGGGAAATAAATTGTAAATGCCCCGAAAATGGCACCTGCGGAAAGACATGCTTACGAGGCACAATTTAAACTGCAAGCTATCAGTTCAGCGGAGGACCGTAGGATTCGAGCAGCTGCGAGAGAATTCAAGGTCAACTCATCCATGGTGCTTGATGCTTTCGTTTTATAAAACGGCACCATCTATCCATCCGGGAAAGAACGACCATGGCGCAGCAACATCCGGCGGCTTACAAGCAAAAAAGCTGGCCATCTTCCGCACAACTACTTGTAACATTACTGAGCCCATTAATGTCATATAAACACAAGGGGGAGTTCTGATTACCACAGTAAACTGCCTTGCCATGAGGCAAAAAAGATCACCGCTCCTCCATTGTAACAAAACGGAGCTTATGTGCTACATCAACCACATGGCTATGAAGAGAAGTTGAACCACTTGAAATAAAATTGCTGCCAATAGTGATCAGGAAATAGTCATGAAAGTATCAAGTGAGTGAATGGCTGTGTCTGCGTGTCTTGTGTGTAAGCAACGTGTCACGTTAAGCTCAATTAAACTTTCATGTATCGAGTACTTTAAAACAACCACAGCTGTATACAAAGTGCTGAATTGACACGGTGCAAAAAATTGACGGCAAAGCACTGCAAGGGAAAGTCCGGTCTTCGAAAAATTTAGAGCCGTAAATGAAGAAAGCCAGCATGGCGGAGACAGCAGCTGCATATGGGACACAAGAATGACGCAACACCCACAAAAAGCAGCGGAGAGAAGAAACAGCCATGTGGATGCGACATTAATATCGCTGGCCAGATGCACTTTTTGGTTGTTGAACACAAACACAAGTGAAGGATGAACATTTCAGTTGTATTGAATTTTTAGAAAAATATACTCTAGTCAACTTTTAAGGAGATGTCACATGTTTTCATTTCACTTTAAAAGATACACAGCTGGCCTTGGGAGCTCGCTACACTTTTTGTTACAATTTGAAAACAAAGTTGTCTTTTCTCTAAGACCTGAAAGAAAGAAAAAAGTGTGAACATGTAAATCAGAAAAGCTGGTTAATAAACGTGCTTAAAGGCATTTAAAAAAAAACAAGTGTTGGGAGTTTTTATTTTGCTAAATTTCCAGTTTTTTTTTCCGACCAGTGAATATTGACTTAAAATATCAGTTATAGGCCTCCTTAACTACGGTACTAATAATCTGTATCAGCGTTGAAAAAAGTATATCGGTCCAGCATTAATTAAATCTATTGTGATACTGGCAACAATTATAAACCGGGGAAGCGGGAAGACGACCACCACAAAGGCTATGAAAACTTCAATATGACATTTACATATGTATATTTACATATACATTTACCTGGTAAATCAAAGAATTTCAAAGTGGCCCTTGCAACCTTTGCAGCCCTAGAGGTTTTTCCTTAGGGCTGATTATTTTCCCCCTGACCCACCGACCTCACAGGCAGTGCCGACTGTAGAAATTATTACAATTACTATACTACACCAATATCGTGTGAATATACGTTGAAAAGGATTTGCAAATCACTGTATTCTGTTTTTCACTTACATTTTACACATCGCAACTCCCTTGGAAATTCAGCTTCGTCTTTCTACAAAATGTAACAAAATAATTGCTACTTTCAAAAGCTACGCATGACCGTCAAACTGCTACACAATGAAGGATTTATTTGGCTGCAATTACCAATTGATGCTTGCTTGGGAATTCACATCTTAAATAATAGAAATTCTTTGTCTTATAAAATGCATCAGCGTAAGCTAGAAGGACTTTAAAATGTGTTTCTGTCGAAAAGATCTGGAGACGAGTGCACTGTGTGCACTGTAAGCACAAACATGGACCATGCTGACTCTTTGCCCCCACTACCTTAGAGTCACCTTTGGCACACAGTTCAAAATGGCGTGTCACAGCTACTAGGCATCTACTGTTCATGTCAGGATTCATACACTATATCTGGCTCCATGTCAAGTGAAGCAGATGTTCAAACCAAATAAGTAGGCGACATCAGTGATGCTGTACAAAATAAGGATGCACACAAATTATATATACTAAATATAATGTCGAAAATGAACAAGCTAAAATCTAAAAAAAAAAAATACTAATAATATACTGGAAACAAAATTCCACCTAGTGCAGCAGCAAACTAAAGACCTTCTTCAGTGGTCAACAAATCGATTCCGAACAGTGCTGTCAAAGTAAAACCAGACCACTTAACTCTACTTTTAGGAGGTAGCTGCATGAACACATTTGAAGTCATGATTTCAATATTGTACAATATACGGACCGACTACTCTAGTATATAAATTAATAAATCTCAGTTGAACGCGAATGCTCCATTTACAGACATTACAAGTCAATGTTGCACTGTCGTCACATTCCAAATGAAATTATTTCCAAACCGCAAACATTATCCCCATCCTGAGATGCCAGCTTCACGTTTTTGCTATCCACTCGAAACAGAAGGCCCGCTACAACTAATGTCACTCAATTTTCTCCTCTAACTTGTGTTAGGTTTACCTCAGCTGCTTCCTTCATGTGTATTGTGTAACAATGAAAACTGATGTTGATATAATGGTCGTTCGGGAAATTCAGTTCTTTTAGACCTCTTGCACCCGACAGTCGCGCTACAAAGAGGCCACAAAACATTATCGGAGACAGCACACATTATTCAAACTTTTCCCATCTGGTACACGCTACAGGAGTGTCACAGCCAGAAAAAAATGAAAAAAGCTTCTAGCCAGGCGGCATCTGACTCCTGAAGTAGTGACATCGCAATCTGCTAACCAACCTATGCAATCCTTTTCTTCTGTAATTCTGCTCACTTGAATGTTTACACTGTATAATACCCCAGCGACCTGCAATACATAAATAGCCCAATGTCTGCATCTTTGCACATTAGACACATATAGTAATTCCTTGCTGTGTCGACGATTTAATTTTTTGTTAATTTTATGTGGCCTGTGAAACCTAACAACGCATAATCTGGACTAAAATTTAAAATTGGCATGTGTAAAAAAATAATGTTTAGATTTTTTTGTGACCAAATCCCTTATCATGGGAACCTGAATAACAGTTGAATTAACTATTCTTCTTGAGTGCTGAATTCAAAATGAGTTCTCCGTAAATTTGTGTATGGGGTAATTTGAGGAGGTACATTAACATGGTTTCACAGTCAAAATGGCACTATTAGGAAAATTATAACTATAGTTTGGCCCGGACAAAAATGATTTTGACACCTCTGGCCTGAAATAGAGTATGACTACTGACAAGTTCAAAATGTCTTTTTTTTTTTTTTTTTTTAATTGTACACATCATCTCCCTTTCCGTTTGGCCTTACTGTGTGTCCCCTAAAAGTGATGTCATCAAGCAGGACCTTTAAGTCACCGCCGTAGTGCTTCTTTTATATTGCCAATCAACTCTTTTTGGAACACAAGGTAACTAATTGTCTCCTTTTTGGGAACACTTTTGAACAATTAGATGCTGAAAAACCGGGCTTTGAAAGTTTCTGTCTAAATAAATGATGGGCATTTTTGGGTGATCCCAGTAATTGTGTGGAAGTGGATTCTTATTCTACCTCATCTTTTTTTTTTTTTTTGGGCTACCACCACCACAGGAACCCGGAATGTTACATTGTGCCGTATAAAACTAAGATAGTGCTGTTCCATTTGGCAATATCTTGTATCTATGTACCTCTGGATTATTTTGTTTTAAAAAATTAACAAAATTACAGATCAGCGAAAAAATGTAATGCTTCTTGAAGAACATCCTTAATGTATTTATTTTGATTCTTTGGACTTTAGTGCACTCCATGAAAATTGGTTGTACTAGCAGATATTTTGAGTGATATTTACTTGGTTATGACAGGAACTGGCCACTCATTACATGAAAAATACTATATCAGGATGCACAAATAGACAACACAATTTACAGAAAACTGGTCAATACCGGCTCCAGCTGAGCATCCTACCAAACCAATGGGAATGGGAACAAATATAGGCAGTATAAGTCTACCCAAATAAAGACAACGGACCCAACACTTGCACATTCGCAGAGCTTAGGGTAATCATCTTCAACTGGCATGAGACTGAAATAACGCTGCTCAAAAGTACTTGGATGGAGCCAGAGTGTGCTTGCTTTGCACTAACTTCAGGTGCATATTCTCGTGTTTTTTACATTATTCTTCACGTTGAGAAAAAAAAAAAAAACGAAACAAGAGTGATTAATCCTTTGAGATGCTGGCTGAAAGGAGGTCTACAATGAGGTGTGCAAAGAGCTTGCATAATATGCTGACATCACAATTTGACAGTCCAAAGCACATTTTCCAGAAAGATTTGGTCAAGCACCAAATTTTCCAAGCTTAAAAGATATTCAAGGGCTGACATTCAATTGCAATAGAAAGGACCAGTATATTCTGAGCATGGTACTTCTCATACAGTCGAGCATTTATACATTACGTTGAGGCATTTCTTTTAGTTTGGTTAACTTGAACTGTTGCTCTCGTCCAAAATATTCGTCTAATTAATGCCATATTTTCAATGTGTTTTACCAGACTATCTTCTTTAGTGTCAGCACAGAACCTGTTGCAGTTACCTCCCTTGTTCTTTACACATTGGAGAGGGGGAAAAATAGAATACAAAATAAGATAATGAGGTTTGTTTCAAGTTCAAGTGAACAACATTCAAGCTTCGATCAACTCATTGCAGCATGCCAAATGTGCACCTCCAAAAACAAAGGCATAAACTTTGCAGTTTGTGGTAATTGCAGCTGGAAAACAGAACAAACATCATTATAGGTGGTTATTTTTGAAATGATATAATGTGGTGTCCAACTCTGACTAAAAAGCCATTGACAAAATAGACTCTTTGAGCTAAACGTTTATGTTGTTAAGAAAAAACAAAAATAATATTTTTTTTCATAAATATACCTCAAAAAAGTCTAATGGGGCTTTTGTGGATTTTAAAAATATCTAATAAAAGTAATGGTCCTATAAAGACACATAGAAATGTGAGTTCCCAGAAATTACAGTTTGGCAAAATGCTAAGTATTACGATTATTATTACGATTACTATTATGATTATTATTCATCCATTATCTGAACCGCTTTGTCCTCACGAGGGTTTCAGACGTGCTGACTTCGGGCAGGAGGCACGGGGTGGACCCTGAACTGGTTGCCAGCCAATAGCAGGGCCCACACAAAAACGAACAACAATTAGCACTCACAATCACATCTCGGGAGAATTTAGAGTGTCCAATCAACCTCCCAAGCATGTTTTTGGAATGTGGGAGGAAACTGGAGTACCTGGAAAAATCCCACGTAGGGACGGGGAGAACATGCAAACTCCACACAGGGAGGACGGGGCCATTTAAAAAAAAAACTCATCAAAAATACCTTTAGACAACTCAAGTCATTTCTGATTACAATTTGCAGTTGACCAGTGTTATCTAACATGATGATCACTAATAAACGTACCGGTATTAATGTGTGACGATCAGATATGCCAGCATGCAGTAAGCTTGCTGGATGGTGAGGATTTGAATGAAATAAAGCATAACTGTAAGGGCTGAGAAAATGCAATTAATTTATTGGGTTGCTGATATAGATGAACCATTCGATAGTTGGTTAGATTACAGTTCAAACTGTGGACGTCTGCTGTGTAAATGACAAATCCTGGGGATCAGATTAACAACATATCAGTAGCGGGTCGTGCATGTCATAAGTCATGACACCTTAGCTACATTAGTTCCTGTGCATGCAATGCAAAAAGTTGTGTACGTTGTCTCAAACTTGGCACACACAACCTGACGTCAGGGAGTTGTAAATTCTAAATTCTCCCTAGATGGGGTTATACGTGGACTTGGTCTAACGAACTGTTTAGCAACGTTGCGCGTAAGAGGAATACTTTTGACTGCTTGGATGAGGAGGACAAAACATTAGTTGAACCCCAATTTCAGGAAAACCAATGGAATGTGTGTCTGACATGAATTCAGGAAATAAAAGAAAGTGAGCTAAACGTCAATAGCAAACGTCAGTGTAGAAGATTGCTAACTTGCTAACGTCAGCGAGCCAGCAGGTTAGCCACTCGGGCTAACTGAATTCCGAGACACGTAACAAGTCCGAAACACGCCGCTGCAGTTCGCTGCTTCCAGACAAGCTCTTGTTCTTTCCACTTATTTGGGGAGACGGCAAGCGTCTTGTATTTGCTGCTGTCTACTGGCGATTGTATTTTTTCTCAAATTAACCTAGTGCAACGTAGGCCCAAGCAGAGCGGCTGACTGACGCGAAGCCACGACTTGGACCAAGAAACGAAGCCTTCACTGAGGCCAGCTCAGGGCCAACGGACGGTCGGTCGATCGGTAAACACCCACCACTAAGAGCCACGGAAGCAAGCGACATCTTGGCGCAAGAGGCAATGACGCCAAAGAGGGCGCGGACTCATCTTTACTACAGCATCCAAGCTGTTCCTGTATTGAATGTGAGCCGAAGAAAGAAAGAGAAAAAAGAAAACACTCCAAAATCAGCGGCCATTCCGAAGCTGAACAAAAGAGTGCGTTTATACTCGTTACAGTAAAATGACACTCGGGCGTTACGTACGTTTTAGCAAAAACCTGGTCAGTCTATAATATCTGCATTAGCGTGACAAGGCGAAATGGCATGTGTAAATCGGATAATATAGTGTTTTTACCTTCAGAGGTATGACTCCGCCATCCTCACCGCTTCCTCCTCTTTTCCAACCAGCACTGGTGCCCCGCTGCCCGCCCCGCCCCGCCCTCGCTGCCATCAAATGCGTCATTCCGCGCGGACCAATCGCGTCATTTGACACCAACCGCGCCACGCCTGCCTGCAAGGCGGACATGCGCAGTGAGCTCCGACGGTCGACGACGCGACAACAAGCTGCGAACAACTTCTCTGCAGCTTTCCAAGAACAGGAAATTCACGGTGCATGACCACTGTCCACGAAGTCGCTTTACAATATAATAAAAAATTATATACAGTATATATGTTAATCAGATTTAGTTAGGTATTCGATGGTGATCCAACTATTTATTTACATTGCATTTGGCATTTCAAGTGTTGATGAGGTTCTGGTATATAAACTCCTAAAAATGGCTTCTACGGGTTCACTGCAACAAAATCGAATACCTGGATATATATATATATATAGAGATATAGATATATATAGATATATATAGATAGAGAGATAGAGATAGATATAGATATAGATATATAGATATAGATAGATATAAAATAAAATGTCTACACACACACACTCAATAATTATCTCTAGAGTCAAAATTTGATTCAAAGCAATTGTTATTGCTTTAGTCTGAATTCCCATGCTTACAAACACATCAAAATGCTTAATCTCTTATGGTTGTTTCTACTGATCGTCCTTTGTCATAAATGGATCAATCTATTTCCCTGCATACAAGCAGAAATGATTCAGGAAGACTTACAAACTTGTACATTTTATAAAGCCTATATTGTAAATTTGTAAATCTGAGTGTCATTGCCTCACCAGGCATGAAGCCCACCGCACATCACTGAAACAAATGAATAACTTCATTATGTACTCCTCATTTGTAATCATTTCCACACTTCTATTCCTTTGCTTTTGTAATACACTTTTTCACCATAACGTCACATGTTTTTCTCAGTGGCAAAAAGAGGGATAAAAAAACGGAACCTTTAGGGGTACATTTTGTGGTCAAGACCACAGCTAGATTTTGTGATCGTTTTCAGTTCTAGGCAGTGGCAATCACTCACTCTTCGTCCCCTCTTGTTGACCAACATTAAAACGTCTACAGCTTTGTTAATATGTAAAAGACTATATGGACACCCTGTACTTTTCTCTTTCCAAAAGGTCAATCTTTGACCAAAACCTTCATGCTTGGATATTTTGTTTCAGATATTAGAGGTGAAAAAAGTAGGGAAAATAACATTTTATAAATACTGTATACCGATGTTCCAACCATGGCCACTTTCTAATTATATTTTATGGGGATTGCAGTGTTATGATGTTGGCTCATCACATGTGTAACCTTTGACCACAGCTATCTCAAATGACCTCAACGTTATCGCTAGTCTTAGAAATACAGCAAAATATGATCAGCACACTTCATAGGGGGAAAAACACACATGCAAACAAGATTCAGTTGAGTGAAGATTGATATAGGACCACAACGTTTTACTACATACTCCAAATTGTCTGAATTGCTGAATAACCTAGAAAATGAACAAAGACAAACTGTAATGTGTATAAAAACATTATTATGCTACACAAAGTTATAGATTTATGAGGTTTGTTGTTTTTTTTTTTTTTTTTTTAACTTTTCCGGACATGATCATTAAAACACAAATAACGCTAGTCAACAAATTCTTAATTGTTTTTTGAATTGCAACTAAAATTTTCTCGAATATTTTTGCACTAATTCTGAATCTACACTCAATTTTTATTTAGTACATCAGGTGCATCAGGTTTTCATCATGCTACTACTACTACTACCACTAATAATAATAATAATAACAATGATAATATAATAACAATAATACTGTGTTTGCAATATAGTAATATTTATGAATGAAGGGTTATGCTCAACATGAGGTGAACATTTTCTCTGAATCTATATAGCGATAAATTACAATGCGCGGTAAAATCCAAATGCGCAAGCTTTTGCAGGTCAGACTTAAAAAAATGAAAAGATCAAAAAAAAAACGATTTGCTGAAAAAGACTTGTTTTAAATGAGCGTCAAAAATACGTTGACCACACAATTCCAGCTGATTAAAAATTGCTGTTGACTCGTGTAATCAGAGTGATACTCCAGATGTCCTTAATATTACAGCTTGTGGTGATGAAATCAACAAACGTGCATTTTATGCAACTTCTATTCCCTCATTAAAACAAAATCAGGGGAAAGGTCGGCGAGAGCTTGTTTGTGTTCGTCAAAGTGTTGCCTGTAGATGGCAGTAGCACACTATTAGGGTGGCAAAGGCGCAGAAGAAAGTGACGTTATCTAGCAAAACGTTGTCCTGACAACTGTAATATTCCGAGTAAAAGGTGAGTAGTCCTTTGACGATAATTGGTAGAAGGAGCCAACAACTATTTAATTTTTAACTGCAAGCCTGAGTTGTGATCGCGTTTCTTAAAAATATCCGCGTTACAGAATGAAGTAGTGTTTGTGTAGATAGTCAAGGTAAATGCTAATCGTAGCGTCAGGTCGGCTAGCTCAATGTTGTTTACAAATGACAAAGCACTTCACTATAAAATACTTAAATTCGGACTGGTCGTGTGGGTCACGCCACATTAGCCGCGTGAAATATTGAGTAAGAGCACTTCTCAGGACAGCATTTATTGCATTCACAATTATTGTCTGCCAAAACGTTATAGACACGATTTTATTTGGAATCGTTTTAATTTTAACACTAAAGTCAGTGTTTGCAACTGTCCAGTTGTCATTGAATTACAATTCATCAGATTTACAACGTGAGTATTTTCAGTCACTGTATGGCGCACTTAGATACAAGAATCCTACTGGTACAAAACCAAAAATGCTCAGTTGATTGAATCGCGATTTATTCATTTAACAATATCATTGCATCATACGGAGAGCAATTAACAATATCATTGCATCATACGGAGGGCAAGAGCTGTTGACCACGGCAAAATCATGTCGACTTTTATTGCCTTTACCCGACGAAAAAAATATATGTATATTTAGTACTCCGGTTCCAGTAAAATACTTATCATAAAATACTTACCACTCATCAACAGGTCACACAAGAGGACACAATGCCAGAGGTAAAATCCGTATTCAGAGAAGTTCTGCCGAAGCAAGGTTTGTGCACATTTGGTTCATCTTAACATATATAAAGTATGTGTGTGTTAAATTGGGAGATGAAAAAAAGCTAGCGTGTCATCACAGAGCCACTATTGATTTAGTTGGCAAGAAAAATGATCACTTAAACTTAGTTGTGCATGTTGCTGGTGGATTTTTTTTTTTTGTTGTCACAGGGCAGCTTTCTATGGAAGATGTCCCAACGATGGTGCTTTGTAAACCCAAACTCCTCCCACTCAAGTCGGTCACAGTTGAGAAGCTGGAGAAGATGCAGATGGAGGCTCAAGAGGCTATCAAACAACAAGAAGTTGCAATGAAGGAGCAGTCGCAGTAGACCTGCGGTGGATTCTCTCCATCAGAGCTTTGAATGAAAGAGGAATCACGCCTGTTAGATACGAACCAGCCAGCAATGAAATACATTTATAATGCTTTATTGAGCAGTGGATGGATTGGCGGGAGGTTAGCAAATGAAACGTTCATTATTTACAACTACCGTATGTCTTGTTTGTAGTGTTATTTATGTATTATATAATTTATAAATTATTGGTACGTTGCCCCTCACCCAAGAAGTCTTATTCTTTATAGTTGTTTTAATGAACAGACAAAGAGAAACACATGGCAAATCATGAGTACCAGTATGCGATTGATATAAAAATAAACACTCTTTCACACCACTTCTTGGAACCTGAATTGACCTTCAGAAAATGAGTCACACAGCATAGAAAAAGCAGCTAGTAAAGGGGGGCCAGTATTGCATACAACATTCTCCCCTTTATTTTCCATACGCCATTCTATAAAGCTCTTAACACAAAGCAGTTGTGTGTACAAATGTTTGCCTCGTAGAACACACAAAAGGTGTGGCAGTGAACTCAGTTGAATACTGTACATCATAACATGGAATGACTGACACACAGGTGTGGCACTTTCAGGGTTAACTTAGGTTATTGTTTATATTGAAACATGGAAGGAAATCATCCAGTGAGCTTCAGTTTCAAAAGTGCATTTTTTTTGCCCCTAGTTTGGAAAACTATGCAAGTAAAAAAGTACTGGAGCTGAAAAAAAGCACTTCTCCTTAGCTTTCAGTTTTGATGACACCCCCGTCTCCTTCGCTGACAAATCTCTTGCGACCCCTAAGAGGAGAAAGAAACCGATATTGTTCACAAGTTTCACACTCGTATATGTTGTAATAATTTTGCAAAGAGAGCGTGCACTTACCTACAGGGACAAAGATCTCGTAACTTTACATCAATGATTGCCATATTGAAGCTCTTTTCAACAAATTGCTCAAGGATGAAGTACGCACGAGGAACATCTATGTTAATTTCAGCTATATCCATATAAACTCTTTCATAGCCCTAAGGGAAAAAAAAACTCAGTACTGTACCTCAAGTGAAATAATATGCAGTACATAAGTGAAACCAGTAGGTGGCATCTTACCCTTCTCATTTGGTCCACAGTGATAATGGAGGACACAGAGAGTGACTTAAAAAGCTGCAGAACCATTTTGAATGTCTTCTCTCCCTTGGACTCCAATACCATGACTATAGCCTTAAAGAAATAAGTTGCAATACTGAGCCAGGTCAGTTGGTGGCTGACTGCGCCTGCAGACTGACTTACCTCATAGACAAACTCATGGTGAAAATGAGGAACCTCTAAATCTTTCAGGCACCGCTCAGCCTCCTTGCTGTCGCCGGATAGGATGTATTCCTTTAGCAGCAGGTTCATCTGACAATATTGAAAAGAGAAGGTAGAGAGGAAAAAAAAAAGGTGTTTTTGTTTTACCCCGCAACAGTGGACTCCCAGTCATTAAAAGTCGACAGGAAGTGGAAAGCGGTAATGATGTAATGATCTGAAGGACTGTTACCTCTTTGACAAGCTGCGTGACAGGTCTCTGGCCACCGCCTGCGCCCCATTGGTTATCTATACGAACCCCACCCTTACTCATCTTCAAAAGCACAGCCGCCCGGTCTAGGGCCGCCCTGCAAGATCAGTGATTCATGTGTATTCAAATCAAAACATTAAGTACACTTCCACAATCTAACACAGGAACTCTGGCAAAAACACATCGGCTATTACAAGAATAATAATGCCCAGTTGTGATTGCCATGTCTGTGAAGTATCAACAAAACACAATACATCTTGGTATGATGCAGTACTGTTCAACAGCAATGAAAACTACAAACATAAAAATGTCTTAAAACTCAGTATAGGGAACACTTTTCCTTAGTTCCAGTGAACTACATTCCACTCACTATTACTTGTATTATTGCTTGCATGATTTGCTGTTTGTTGTGGTTTGTCACAGAGACTTGTGCCTTAGGTGCTTTCACGTGACTTTTTCACCAGTCCAAAGTAACCACTAGCGAAATGACTCAATTTCACCAGTCACGCAGTTTTCACAAGCAAAGGTTTCAAAGTGACAAATGAACGCTAAGCATGGCAGGGACAACGGGAGCAAACAAATTGCGTGCGACTCATGGTCTCAAGAGGCATAACACCGCTGGCCTCATATTCAATCTATTTGTTGACTTTACAGACTATGAAAAAGGAGTGATGTCATGCCCTGTCAGTTTCTTGCACTGGTTGCACTCTTGTGTGAAATACCGGCATTTGGCCTGCCAGAGAGTATGTTAAACGGCATTATATAGCATTACAGCATAGTATTTATTCTAAGTATTGCACTGAGGTGACTCAGAATTTAGTTAAGCCACACTTCTGATTGGCGCAGGGCGCACATGTGTGACGCGGGTGTGCGCGCAGTTCTTCGTTAGTTTCAGCAAGTTGTTCTTCCGATAGGCAAACGGAGCACCACAATTTTAAATGTGAACGATTCCAGGATCTTGATCTTATGAGATTCGATGCCCAACCCAAGGTATATTTGACTTACAATTGCCTCACACATCAACACTCGCCAAATTGAATTTTAACCCGCGTTTGGTGGGTTGGCGGGTGTTCATTGAGAACCCAGGTCGTGAGACTACTGTCTATAAAAAATATTTAGAATAATTTAATACCATTTTTTGGGGCTGAATTTGCCTTTATTTATGTTGTTTTATACAGATTTCATTCTTTTTTTTAGCAGTATATGAAATTTGATGTTGATGGTCTAATTAAAAAAAAAGTATAAATCATGGAGTCAAATTTTTTTGGCAACTCTACCAACCTCCAAATAAACATTTTATCTAAATGTAATCACATACCTCGTGTATTCACAGCCAACTCTGCCTTTGTATCCCTCAATGTAGCTCTTCGACAATATTTGGTCACGAACAGCTCGTGCGATGAATTGGCCCATTAGCTAGGGAACAAGAATAAACATCTGTCTTTAATATCACATGATTTTCAGAGATATTAATTTCCCCCACTGACAAGATTCTCTTAATGAATGAGAATGAAAGAAATGATGAAACTTTAGGGGGCGTTTTGGAATGAAATGGCAATAAGACCACCTGAGATTGTCGTCTTTTTTGAGCATTTCTTTCCTGTTTAAAGGCTGCATGGGGCTGCTATTTAATTATTGTCAATTGTGTTTATGTTGGGCTGCTGTATGATGATAGTTGTTTTCAATAAAATTATTCAGACGATGAAAACTATTCAGAACTAAGCTGTTACGTCACTGCTTTGCCCTCCAAAATATGTGCTCTGCGATTGGCTGGTGACTGGTCCAGAGTGTACCCTGCCTCTCGCTCAAAGTCTGCTGAGATAGGTTCCAGCTTATCCGCAACACTAAAGAGGGAGGACAAGTTATATCGAAAGCGGACAATGTCATAAGACAGAACTGAAATGTGATTTAGTTGGAACTGGTGAGAAAACCCCACCATCACACACAACATAGAGTGGTGGCATGTGTGTGTATGCTTGTTTACTTTTGTGCAGGCGTGATTTTTCGGTAATCGAAAGAGCTGGCTTTGTTGCCCTGGCATACACAAAGCGGGCACTCAGCACTCTGACTATTGTTCCTGTACAGACAAGTCAGTTCACTCTCAATTTGGTGCTGGCTTGACTGGCTGCCGCAAGAAGAACAAAAGGCAGTGTGTGCGTGTAAATGTATGAGAATCTGAGAAAGCTAGAGGAGTGAGGGATACAGAGGGATGTTTATACTGGCCCTATAAAAACACAGATCTGTGAGACAGAACCGGCAAGACCAACTGAGACAGAGAGGGCGGGGTTATGGGGAGAGGTCCCACTCGTAGGCCTTTCAGAGTGCTCTGCTGAGCTTGCATTTTTACTGCACAGCCAGACAATCACCAAAGATCTAATGTCTACACAAAAAGGACGGGGACACACACACACACACACACACACACACACACACACACACACACACACACACACACCCACACACAG